CAAACAGCTTTAAATATGTCAAAGATGAAGGAAGTCGAGACTCATACTTGCAGATCCTGCATGTTTTAAATGCAAAAGATGAGACACAAATAGATGGAAAAGCTTCTGTCTTTTGCCTCTGAAAATTAAAGAAAGACTTCCTTTGTTTGTTTTCTTGGTATTTCTGGTTTTACTATCGCCTCCCTCTCTTTTTCTCCTCTTTTTTTTTCAAAGTGACGAAAGGATCAAAGAAAGAACCCCTTTGTTTCCCTGTTATCTACACTATCCTCTCCTCTTACTATCTCTTTTTTTTTTTCAGCTCTCTCTCTTTCTTGCTCCTTTCTTCCTCTCCTCTATCCTATTTCCCTTTGTTTTCTTTTTTCATCTCTATCTTCCTAAGTCATTAGAGGGGCTTAAAACCTAAAACATAGCTCTATTTAGGAAAAAAAAATATTACATTAACTCTAAGGTGTAATCTCGGGTGAGAAAAAATAGGAAACCAAAATATTTTGATTCTGATTTTGTGATCATATCTGATTTCTTTCTAGTTTTTTTTAGAGGATGGTGTGGCTCCTTTTTTTCCTTCCATAGTTGGGACCATGAAGCCAGCTACTTCCTTTGAAATGAGGCAATAAAAACGTGGTCTGCAACTCTCCATTCAAGTGAGAGAAATAGAATAAAAAGAAGAAAATAAAAGAAGAAGATTGTTAACATGATTACATTAGTCATCTTATTCAATTAATGCTAATACTTGTAAATCTCGTCAAGCATTCATGATTATAACTTATGTTAACAATAAATCAAGTTCCTTTCATAGCTCAGGTGTCGGTTATACCATACATTATGGGCTATGAAAGTGCCAAGCATTTGTTGTACCAAGTGTTATACAACATAAATCAAGATTAGTCATTTAACAAGCAAAGTATTAAAGAGTGAACAAGATAACAAATATAAAACATGTTAGTATCAAACATTAAAGTCCATATTAAGTTTACATTATACTTATTCTTACACCATTAGTGTAACCTTTTCACCTTGACATAATTAACTTAGCTAGACATAATGAAAGAAAGCAAAATAGATAAACAAAATAAGAACATAAAAGTTAACTAAGTAAAGGAAAGGAAATGAAAGGCATAAACTTAATATTAATGAAAACAAAGCATAAAAAATACAAAGAGAGAAAGGAAGAGCATGATCTTGATCTGGAAACCAAGATGCCTAAATGCATGGCAAATGTCTCCTTTTATAGGCCAAAATTGGGAACTATTGATTTGATGACTAATTGATAAGTGGGTGGCCAACTTTTGACTTGGTGGCAATCCTTATCTTCTCTTGTCTGCCCAAAACGTCATTGATAACGTCCGAATTGGAGCCAGTTGCAAACATGAAATTTGTAGGCAATTGTCTCAGCTTTCTTGTGTAAAACATTCAGCTCATTTGGACTTCTAGAACTCCAGATATGGCCAAAATACCGAACAGTGCTCATGCTAGAAGACAGATTTGGACTTCTTTGTTGTTGCTACAATTTGGACTTGAAAATGGCCTTTTTAAGTTTTGGGCTTCATATGAAAGTTGTAGGCCTATGTCTTACCTTTTCATCCATATAAAGTAGACCTAAATCTGAGATCTACAGCTCTAGATATGACCCAATTACCAAATAGTGTTTCGGTTTGGATTACACCGACATCTCTTTTCTAAGTTTGGTCATCTCTTTGTCCTTTCAATTTCAGTTCTTAAATTCATCAATCAATCCTTTGATTTATGTAATAGGCCTGCATTTAAAATGAACATTTACCACAAATTAAAGGTATCTTATATTATTATAAAACATACTTTAGTTAAGGAGTTATTGATACTTCGAGTGCAAGATAATGACATAAAACCTTGATAAAAATGCACTTTTAAGTACTAATCAAGAGACAAGAAAGTAAATTCTCAAATCATCCATAAAAAATATACTATTATAATATAATAGAAATCTTATAAATATATTCTTTTTTTCTTCTCACCACTAGTAATAACATTCTTTTTTATTTTTTGCCTCAATAATTCTAAATCTATTTTTTTTAATTATTAGATCAAATCTTTCATTTAATTTATCTAATACTTTGTTCAAGATTCTTGTTTCTTGTTTCTACATGTCCTTTTATATCATCTTTTATCTTTAATGAAAGTTCTATATATATTTTTATTCTTATATTTAATATCTATAGCTATATATGCTTTTTTAGCGTCTTTAATATGTCAAGTAAGCTCATCTCATTCTCTATATTCAAATAATCATTTTGTATCTTGTTGACTTCACATGTAAATGAAGTCTTCCTTAATTTTTGTTAAATGAAATTTCTATCTTTCTTATATATACAAAAACTTTTCCATAAACAACATATTAACTTTTTTTATTGACCTTTTTTAGCTTATGTCAATAATAACATCAAGTATTATACAACTTTTAAATTAGGAGATATAAATGAAAATTTCTGAAATAATGGAGACATAATGTAAAAGTAACTAAAGTACATGATATAAAGTGTAATTTATTCTAAATATTCTTATTTTACAAAATTTAAAATTTAAAAATATATTTTTATTTATAAAATTATCTTACACATAAATTGCAGATACACTGCCTATTAATATAAATTTTCATTGCATATATTTAAAAAAAAAATCTTTTAATCATACCCTTTAAGTGGATATTATTTATAAATTATAACTTTTAAATTTTTTGATGAACGATCACATCAAAACAGATAAATGTATGACAATGTATTTATTCATTATAGTCACAAATTTAAAGCAATTATATCAATTACAAATTTTTATTGCACAATCATAAAAACAAATGTACTTTAGTTGCCCCTTTGAATTAAGTGTTTACCAATAATAGCTTCACTTTTTTTATCAAACAATCATTTTATGCCTACAATTATTCTTGAGTTTTTAAAGATCTCTAATATTTAAAAAAGCTAGATGCCTTAGAAAAACATTGTAATTCCACTCTAAAAAATATTGTCCACTAAAATAATATAATAATAATTTTATTTTTTTATTTAAAAAACTTAACACTAGTTATCAAAAGTATTGAACTCTTTTCACATAACTCATTTGTCATTACTAAATTAATTTAGAATAAATAAGTGTTTTTCCATCTTAATTATATACTAAATGACCAAAAATACCTTTAGAAGGAAAAAAACTCAAAACTATCATAAAGGGATATTTTAATATTTTTATAATAGTTTTTTCATTATTATAATATCAGTTGAGGAGCTATTTGATATTCAATTAAATATAAAATATAATAAATAATTAAAATTCACAGTGAAATGATGAAATTGCCTTCAAAGAAAAAAATTTAAACTTTGAGTCGGCTTTTTGATCTTTTGACAATAGATTTTTTTAGTCGGGTTTTTGATCTTTTGACAATAGATTTTTTTGTAAATATTAAATCAGTTTAAGGGTAATTTAATATTTAACTAAATAAAAAAATAAGACATGTGAAGTGCACTCCCCTACTTGTGGGTGGTGTCCTTGCTTTTTGAGTGGCGCATAAGACGTAGTAACCCATATCCAAAAACATCTCTTTATCGTGTCATTAGAAGCTTTGACATGTTCTTTTTCTATTGGAGTGGTGTTTATTGATGATAATGGTTTGATTTATTTTCATTGGGTCTTTCTCCCTTTCTTTTTCTTTTTTTGTTTCTCCTATAAAAAGTATAGGTTGGTTCTTTTTGTTGTTGGTATTTCAACTTTAATCTCTATTATTTTGATTTTTAATTTTTGTTCTTGATCCTTTTATAGAATTTTTATTTATTTTTAATTTTATCCATCAATTCCAATTTGACATATATAATTTTTTACAAGTTGGTTCTTATTCTTTTAATTTTTAATTTTGTTTCTTTTATCCTTTTTGTAAAAAATTTTATTGGTTTTCAATTTCATCTTTCAATCCAAATTTATAGTATTATGTTTTTCAATTTAATCCTTATTGTTTTCGTTTTTAATTTTCTTCTTGATCTTTTTGTAAAATTTTAATTTATTTTCAATTTCATTCTCCAATCCAAATTGATGGTATATTATTTTTATCAATTTGGTCCTCATTTTTTTTATTTTTTTCCTTTTGTTTTTCTTTTCAATTTACCATTTAATCAAAATTTTGTTTTCATTTTTTATGTCAATCTTAATCCTTATTCTTTCAAAAAAAATTTGTTCATTTGCTAAATTAATTTTTCTTTTTAATTTCACCCTTCAATTTGATATAAAACTTATTTTGTATTTCAATTTTAATTTTTATTCTTTCAATTGCTATTTTTTTATATAATTAAAATTATTTTTTAGAAATTAAGCTTATAAGTGACGAGTTTTGAAAGTTAAAGATTAATTAAAATTATTTTTTAGGAATTAAACTTCATAGTTTTTTCTGATAAGTGACGAGTTTTGAAAGTTAAAGATGATATTTTTTTATTAAAAAATAATTTTTATAATTCTTTTTATTTTTTAGTTTTATTTCAATCTCATAATATAAATTATAAATTTGCCAATATACTAGAATTATAGTTTTACATATTAACACAAATTGTTCATGACCTACCAGGTTTTTTATATCTTTTTTTTATCTCATTTTATTTTTTTATATTTAATAGGCTATGAATTAAATTGTACTATTTATTCCCTTTTAAAAAAAAAATTCCTCTAGTTATCCTAATAACTTTTCTTCTTAAATTTGATATATTTTGTTTTTTTTTCTAATTAAAATAAAATCAATTTATTCAACCCAATTAAATTATTTTATAACTTTAGTCGCATTTAAAAAAAAAAACATTTACAACACCTAAAAATGTTTATGATCAAAACTAAATAAAGGTTATGACCCGTCTAAAATTAAATTCCATTTCATAGCATTGCACGTGGTTTTTAGAGTGAAGTAACTTCATTATTTTCATGTTACACATCCCCCCACCAGGAGCGAGCACATCTTCTGTTTTTCGAGCAAAAGAAAAGTGTCAAAAGCTGGAGCATAGAACACATACAAAACATTTTCTTTTAGAAGAATATACTACAGCCCTATGGAATTCACCTCACCGATGTTCGCATTGTCAACAGGAAACAATTATCAAAGGTTAAAGGGGGTAAAAATGAAAAATAAAAAATAAAAAAGAAGGATGGGATCATACATCCTGTACCGTGATACCAGTCATCATTTTTACACAATTAACATTTTGCAGACAGAAAAGATGTACTCAGCCTCCATTATCCTCGTAACCCACAAGCAAAAGGGCCCCATCAAATTATCACAAAAGAAGGAAATTCTAAGATGTATGGTGATGATCCACTACTTTCTTTGCAATGATAAATTAAACATAGGTCGTGTATATGTTACTCACTTCCCAAGTTTAGTGAACCATCCTTCATGAGCTTCATGCTTAGACTGTTGAATCTCCCTCTAGAGTAATGACGGGAAGCTTTCCTCCAATCTGTCCCAGTTTTCATCATGGCAACAAATTCATCATAGCTGATTCTTCCATCCTGCATTCACAAGACATTGATGTCAGACTGAAATCTGCTGAATCAAAATTTGCATATAATGTTAGATATAGTATTAGCCCTTCACCTTGTCAGTGTCTACTTCTTGGAAGATGTCATTTGCCACATCTGTACAATCATCTGCTCCATCTTCCATCAAGGCATCCCGGAGCTCATCTGGTTCGATGTAACCATTGCCATCCTTGTCGAAGTAGGAGAATGCCTTGTGAATATGTTCATCATTGGCCATCCTTTGGAGATGAAGGGAAACGGCAACAAATTCCCCATAGTCTAGTTTACCCTTCTCATTAGTATCTACCTGTTGGGAAACAAGTAATCCATTCAAATCCAGATGAAACTAATACACAACTAGATATAAAACTTTCCTTAAAACTGTTTGCTCAACAAAAGGATAAAGGATGAATGAGTAAGGAAGAATGGACTAGGGACAGATGAGATGCTCAACTCATATCTTTAGGTGGGATCCATTGAATTCAATCCTTACCTTGATTCCGACATTATTCAACTCATCCAAACAGAAAGGATAGGGAGAAAAGCCAGGAAGTAGATGAGTTTTCTTCTACAATAGTCGTTATCTAAATTTTTGTATCCTGTCCATCAAACCAACTAAGAAATGAGGGGAGGAGAGAGAGTGATTTTCATCCTTTCTCATCTTCATCTATCCTTACTCTATTTTCTGTGCTCCCAGCCATTTACAATGTTAATGCATTATGATAATGCCTCTATGAAGTTATTGCCTTTATGAAGATTAAACTTTTGAAGGAGGAACAAACAATATCATGAATGCATGTGCAGCATGTGAAAACTCTAATATTCTTCAACGAACCACATGTAAACTCATATTCTTCATTAATCAGATATACTCCACTTTCAACCTTGACCTTTAAAATGTTCAGATAAAACCTCAAAAGCTTTCACATCTGTTTTGATGTCTCCTTTGTTAGTTTTTTTTTTCTCGTATTTAGCTAAGAGAAAGCAAGAGGTCAAAGCTTGTTAATTTTCTTTCATCTGTCGTCTTTTCCTTCGCATGAAATGCTTCAACTTTTAATTGGAATGTGAAAAATGATTTTAAAAAAAAAAGAGGGATCTGTAAACCAACTGCCTTCCCCACCCTTCCAATATCTGTGCCTACTTGTAAAGGTAATTGATGGTCAAACTCTGAACAGCACCTTTATCACTACCAAACCCCATGAGACAGTCAGGAATCAAGACACAGCAAGCCTTGTTCACTAACCAATCTCTCAACTCCTAGGAACCAATCCAGCAAAAGAATCTCTTCAACCCATTCACCACAACTCAGCCTGATGAAAGGATAAGAAACTGAAGCCAGCTACAATAACTGACTTGGAAACAGCACATCACAGAGGGATTAGATATAGCAAGGTAAGGTGGAGACAGTGTTAAGAAAAAACCAAGGGAGTGAAGAAAAGAGGAGTTCAAAAGCGAATTTATGAGAGGATGTGTGCACAGGTTGAGATCAAACATGCAGTGTCATGGAAGAGATCACATTGGTGGAATCAAAGGATGCAGACAGGTGCATATAATTCTAGCTTGAAAAGACTCAGACATTGCACATACACATAACAAGTTTAAAGATGGATTAAATGATTCGGATAAAAGTTGCACATACACATAACGAGTTCAAACTGAAATCTGCTCTAAGCTGTGAACTATCCCTGTAATTAATCCAGCTATTTTCCTTGCAGTAATTAAACTCCATTCACTCGATCACCACAGTTTTTACTACCTCAGGACCATACCATTAAGTTCCAAGAGTGAGCACTGTACGCAGGAGCTTAAAGTCAATGTCTGATACAAATGTAGTTTTTGTCAAGTAGTCCCCAGCTTCCCTTATTTTATTTTTTCTTTTGGGACCCCTTCACATTCATGCTAGAACCCAAACCTTCATTCTTCCAAATCAAGCAGGAATACGGTTTATAAAATTTTAATAAACTTTCATCAATGCAATCATTGAAGAAATATCCTCGATCATCCCATTTCCATATTTTCCTCAAAGATGCAAATTATTTGTTTCAGGAAAGACAACTGGAACAGGTAAGGGGATAAACTACCTCAACAAAAGATTAGAACTGAAATTGTCTCTGGGACTACTGATTATGCTAATGTGTAATAGGTTAAGTAACTGGTCATAAAACTTGACTTTATGTTGTCTCATGATGGGGGTATAATACCAATGCCTCTAGCGTACTCTAGAAAAACACCTTCATCAGTGTCAAAGGTGCAGCCCTCACTTAATAAGAAAATAATTGCGGATAAATAGAAAAGGAACTCTGATATGTATTCATTGCAATTGTGCCACTGGTGCTGTTGTTGAAGGTGAAAACATTGAAACAGGTATACTAAAGATACTGTTTGATTTTTTCAGCAGAGCACAGATACTGTTTGATGAAAACTGAAACTGAGAAGCATAAATTATACTCACAGCTTCAATAAGCATTTGAACTTCAGACTCTGCAAGCTGGGAACCAAAATTTCGAAGTCCAATTTTCAATTCTTCAACTGAAACAATACCATCACCATCGGTGTCCATCTTCATGAACATTTCTTTGATGTCTTCAACTTCTTCGATGGATAAGAAATCAGCAATAACCTAGTAAAAATGCACAACTATTTATTTCTGGATGGGAAAAAATAATATCAGCTGAAAATATGAAGATTGTAGAGGAACAATAAACTAACCCTGAGGGCTTTTCTTTTGAATCTGTTCATCATTGAAAACTGCTTAAGTCTTGACTTGACAACATCACCAAGAGGAACATTTGGAGCTTTCTTAGCATTTTGGAGCCAAGGATGCTCTATATGTAGAAACATAAACATCAGGTTAAGACTAACAATAATAAACATAAAACACGAATGTTCAAATGTGACAACTACTAAAATCACGATACATGCATGCCATTAGACCAAACCCAGAAACTGGATGATCATAGTGTGTTCCTAGACAGAGTGCACAGCTAAAGGTTGCTGAAGTGGAATTTTAACTGGAGAGATGCTAAAACTTGTAGGCTTGAATGCAGCTATTATGTAAAATATATTGCAACTAGAGAGGTGATCATGAAGTTCTAAATCAAGACATTATAACGCTGGTAAGCTAGATGAAGTATTACCCATTATATCTTACATATGGTACATAGTTCTTCATACTAGGATGCATCATCACATCCATATAGCAACATACCACCTTTTACATATTCATCTATCAAGTGTCAATATTTTGTCCACATAACAAGATAACTTGTGAGTTAAGAGAATTTTTTAAATGAGGTTTGAACTATAACTTTTTAGAGTTTTTCCCTACAAACCAAGATGTCATGTGAGTAAGTTATAAGGGCTGTAGACAGGGTGAACTGCATTTTCTTCAATACCTTAGGTTCTTATGCCTCTTATCGGAATCCAAGTAAATGTTCTACAGTGGACTTATTCTATTGCATTTCTGCCAAAATTCTAGGAATATTCACAGACGTAATGCTTCTTAATAAAGAGGTAGAATCTTAATTAAAGAAATAATTAAAGAAACAAACAACCTAAAGAGCAAACTTGTAGCAAAGGCAGAAGAGATTTGCAATCCTCATGCCACCACACCACCACACACCCCAAAAGAATTAGATAGCATAGATGATTCTAGCATGGTGAAACAAAAAACATGTTCATACCCTGAGGTGGTATGCAAATTAGTATCATATATAAAATACCTATCACTTGTCTTGCAGTTAGTCGAAGCTTTGGGTCTGGCTCCAACATTTGCCTCACCAGACTCTTAGCACTTTCAGAAATATTTGGCCATGGGTCCCTTTTGAAATCTATAATCCCACGAAGAATGGCCTGGGCGACTCCTTGCTCAGACTCTGTATTGAGGCATTGAAAAAGTGGTTTAAGCTAAAATGAAAAACAAGCCCACCTTCCAAGAAAAGCAGAACAACAACATGAAAAAAGGAAAGCAATGGTAAAATAATAAAGAAGACAGAAAAGCTGTTTGAATGCAATGAGGACATCATACAAGGATGGAGAGGTGTTGCCTTGAACATGCTGCAACCTCCCTCACCCCAACAACCAAAAAAACACATGCACAGAGAGCAATGATGAGAGAGGGGTGGGAACCGAGAGTATAATTACCAGCCCAAAATGGAGGAACACCGCACAACAAGATGTAGAGAATGACCCCTGCACTCCATATATCAATTTCTGGTCCATAGTTCCGCTTGAGCACTTCTGGAGCCATATAATAAGGGCTTCCAACAATTTCAGAGAACCTCTCACCTAGCAGTATTTAAAAATTAGGCAGTAGAAAACACCAGCATGATATAGCAACTAGATATACAAATAATCCAAATCGATGGAACTTTAAGTGATCTACAGCCAGCAAGTGACAATTTATTGAAATAGCAGTTAAGCAGTAGAAAACACCAGCATGATATAGTAACTAGAATCGATGAAACTTTAAATGATCTACAGCCAGCAAGTGACAATTTATTGAAATAGCAGTTTTCTTCCTGAAAGCACCAAAAATATCCATGACAATCATGATGCAAATATCAAGATCATATCTAAAACCTAACCATGACTAAACACGGTAACCATCCTACATGAGAACTCTAAAATAATCGGTGCTTGAACAAAATAACATGCCATTCTTACAAGGAATTAGCAAGGCATCAAAAAGGGCATGAAAAAATATTAGCAAGGCTTCTGGTGCTAAATGTATACTATAAAACAGAATATTACAAGGAATTTCCCGACATTTCAAAGCATGATACTGCAATAATCTTATCACTCTAGTAACTAAGATTCCATCACTTTCACTAAAACTAAATCACCCTAGAAAGTAAGAGCAAACTACATAGATTTTTCCGTTTTTGAGCCCCCATATTCCTGTTTCAATTCACAGCACCTTCTTCGCATTCACCTAACAATTACAAAGGTACATTGCTTAATTATCCATGCATATATCCTTACCACTTCATTTCATAATCATCAGTTAATCATAAATTAATTCCTCACCTGGCTTAAAGAAAATAGACAATCCAAAATCAATAGCTTTCAAAGGCGAATTCTCTTTCTTATTCGCAAACAAAAAATTCTCCGGCTTCAAATCCCTATGAATCACACCATGTTTATGACACAACTGAACAACTTCCACAATCGTTCTGGTAACCGCCGCAGCCGCTCTTTCAGTATAATGACCTCTAGCAACAATCCTATCAAACAACTCCCCTCCTTCACACAACTCCATAACCAAATGCACCGCATTATCATCCTCACACGCTTCTTTCAAGCTCACAATACTCGAATTCTTCGGCAAATGCTTCATAATCGCTACTTCTCGTCTCACATCTTCAATATCCACAGCAGTCCTCAACTTCCTCTTCGAAATACTCTTACAGGCAAGTAACTCTCTCGAGTCTCTCTCTATACACAGATACGTTACGCCAAATTCTCCCCGACCTAGCTCACGATCTACCAAATACCGCTCCTCTATATTCTCCTTGGGAACGCCGGTGAGGACTCTGATTGGTTGCGGTGTCTTTTTAGCTGTGCTGTTTTTCTTTCCGTGATCTTGACCGGAGAAGCTCGATTTCACATCCTCTCTAGCTACGGCGGCCGGAGATCTGCAACAGTTCCCCATTTACAGCAATTTGTTTAGATCTTGTGAAAGAAAGTGTGACTAATGGTTTCACTTTTTCTACATTATAGAAAGCGAAACCCTAGAGAGAGAAATTTGAAGCAAAGTTAGAGAGAGAAAGAGGAGAGGGGGTGGTGGTAGTGAGTGAGAGGAGTGGAGTGTGGCTTTTTCTGGTAGAGTTTTTTAGTCTTTTGAGAGTATTTTATTTATTTATTTATTTATTTATTTTAATTTCTTAAGAGATAGAGTAATATTTCTTTTTTTAATCGGAGACTTCGGTTCTGTGACTTTTGTCGGCTAATCGGGTCGGAACGGGACGGTGGAGGAGGGAGAGAGGGAGGGGGGAGGATGGGGGAGTTGTTCGGATTCGGCAAAATTTTTGTTTTAAAGTCCTTCAAGTTCTGTATATTTTTGTTGTCTTTACTTATATTTTTAGGTAAACTATGTTTTTGTCACTGTAGTTTAAAACAAATGTTGATGTTATATTGTGATTTCAAAAATCTTTTAATTCTACCCATAGTAGCTAATGAAATCAATTGCTAATTTAGTTTTTGAATTTTTTATTTTTTTTATTTCTTAAGCACAAATGTTGAGATATTATTTATTACAATTTAATCGATTAGGGTGACCCAAGATTTTAGGAACTACAAGGGTCATATTGAAAATCTTAGATTATAAGAGTAGAGGTGAGCAATGGAAGAAAATTAAAGTCTAGCCTTTATTTTAATTGTTATTTACATTATTTACTTCTTAAATATGTTTGATGTAAGGTTGATTAATAAATATGATTTATAATAAAAATAAATAGTACTTTATGGGTTAGTAACTTCAAATGTAATCTATCATTTAAAAAAAAAATTAAAAACCTCCAAGGGTAATTATCAAAGAAGAAAAACTTCAAAGGAAACCTATTTATGAAGAGAGAGAGTATAGCAT